GTCCAAACATGGCTATGACACATATCCAAAATTCGCCTTACTTGTTATGTCGGTGAAAACTAATAACACATACAAATCTCTACAATCAAAGCGTCTGTACGAAGTCAACAATAAATCTTCAGCACGCGAATACAGAGCACAATAATGTGCTATGCAAAAACAATTCTCATAATTCACTATCTGTAACACAAATGTAATTTACGAACTGGCACATCTTGGTTATTATCTTCTACCATAGGACATATCGATATGATATCTCTTAATGTGTGTCATATAAATTTCAATCAATTAGTCTCGATTTGCTAAGTCCTTCTAAGGGATAACGAGAAATATTCACCTCACAGTCATCTTGGATTTCCACTAGAGACTGGAAACTAATGTGGGAAGGAGGGGGTAGCCCTCAGGGATTTTTCATAGAGAAAAACTTTTTTTTGAATTCGATTTTTCTTACTTCTATTAATATCTGATACCTGTTAAGACAATATTATGCGAAAATAATCATTTTTTAACACAGAAAACCAGATGTTCGTCTGCTCTGTGAAAGATGCCTACTATGTAGTACGAAAAATTCGAATTACGTGCATCTCGCCTAATTTCATATTGCCTGAATTTCTGGAGTCGGCTGTATCGAAATCCAGGTCAACGTTATGTGTTGTTGAGGAACAGTTTAACCGTGTTTCTAGTCAAGTTCTCGAAGAACTATTAATGGCTGAATTGGACATATCAAGCGGCTATCGTTAATCGCGAAAAATTTCACAGAAAATCCATTTGATATAGATGATGATAAAAGCAAAAGGAGTTAAATTATATTAGCATATTATCACCTCGGTCTTTAGTCAATTGTTCGGCGGCTCTGACAACATCGTCTAGCTTTTTCTACTTGGCAAAACCTAAGAGCATAATACATTGAGTCCAAAATGATGGCTCAAAATGTTTCAAAATTATTGTACTTGGCTAAAATGATTATATGAAAACCTTATGATGATCGAAAAAACAATTTTTCTCACAAAATGCTAATTTGCAAGTAAAACGTTAGATGACTTATCTGATCTGAACTTCTTTTGTATTGCAGTAGGCACGTCTTCTGTTCCCAGCAGTTACAATTTATTACTAGATAAATAAATTGCGCCGTTTCTAAGATAAATGGCTCCCTATCGTGGAAAGAAAAAATGTGTTCTAGGAGAGACTCTTCAGCATAAATGGCGATTTTCCTACCATCAATGGTTCTGCCATTTATTAACCTGTAGCATAAATGGCACAGCCATTTATTACTCTCCAGCATAAACAGCTCTTTCTCTTTCATAATTTGTCTATCACGGAAGGTTGTCTAGCATAAATGGCATTGCCATTTATTACTCTCCAGCATTACAGAAACAAAGGCTATTTTATATCTCTCAACAGTGAAGGACAGATTAAGTCAGGCAGTTTGATATTAGAGAGAGACTTGTACAAGGATAGTAATTTTTTAGTCATTCTTTGTAATTTCTCGTCTTTTGTTCGCATAAGCTATAGCTGGGCCTTTTCGATAAAATCATGTTTCGGTAAAATGCTTCTTCGGCAAAATGCTTTTGGACAAAGTGTTCTTGTGCGAAAAGTTGAGGAAGAGCCGTTTATGCTTTAGAGTAATAAATGGCTGTGTCATTTATGCTAGAGGTTAATAAATGGCAGAGCCATTTATGCCAGAAATTAACCATTTATGCTAGACAACCTACGCTGATAGCAACTGTATAGCCATTTATTCGGAAAAAAGTGTGGGCCAGCCGTTTATTCTAGAAACGGCGCAATTTATTATTTTGTTAATAAATTGTAAGCCCTCTCTGTTCCTTTTACTGATTAATACATTTAATTTAGGCAAATATATCTACTGCAACAAATTTATTTTTAGTGCAAAAACTTCTGTTCATCGTCCTATTATATAAATCTTGTAGCCCATATGTCAGCAGAGTTGGGTAAAATTCATTATGTAGAACAAAATGACGGAACATTATTTTCATCGGTAGTGAAAATGTCACTGATTTTTCTTTACATTTTAGATGAAATACTATGGGGTTCTGGGCAACAGACGAAAGATGAACCAGATCCCGAGGATGATAGATACTGGATAATTAGAACAGTCTTTACATTTCTTAAGAGCGTAAAACCGTTTTTCTAGCTGACATGATTGCTAGTAGAAATTGTTTTTGTTAAATTGTGAACTGAATAGAAATATATCTCGTGCCCTGTGTAAATGCTATGTGAATGATTACACTAGAAGCACAAAAACAGTTTGCTCCGGATGTGCTGCATAGCATACATTTTGATTTATCAGGGAGACCAGCAAAACAATTCGTCAGAAGTTCATGTTTCTAAAATAGTTTTGTTACTAAAACATGAAAGATTTATTTGCTTCTTACAAATTTTTGTACGTTTCTTTAGAGAAAGGCATATTATTGTCCAAAATATATGGTTCAATTTCCGTAGTTTGCAAGGAAATAGCTTATAGGTAACACTTGACGTGGATGATGAAGAATATGACGAATGTAATATTTCACGGAATGAACGTTATTCATCTAAGACTGCATCATATAGTATTATATTAACCATGTTGAACTGTGGAGTGATAATCAATTGTGATGAGCTGTATCGGAGCGAATGTCCGATAAGGGTACTTTATCATATTTTCAAAACATTTCGAAATTACTCATCTTTATTACAGATATCAAAGTATGGTTGTTATAATAACACATGTGGGATGTGAATTACGTTTGTTGCTGGGTTCAAGAATGGAACAGTCCATATGACAAACACGAATTAATTAAGAATACTAAATATTCCGAATGTTTAATAATATGCCGTTGGTCGTTGATAGATTTTATGCAGATGGGCATGCAAGAAACATCTGTCACACAAGATGCAATAGTCGATTGTTATCCAACTATAAAAAATAATATGAACAGTCAGGTATGTGAACCGATTAATGTCAAATTTAAGCACTATGAGAAGACTTTATGCTGTTATTCCTTAACAAAAAGCAAAATCCTTTTTTTTACTATTGTACAATCATTTAAATTGTAAGAAACTTAAAATGTCGTTGTATAAACAATACTGTTAAACATGCGAATATTTTTTGCTTTTCGTTTTCAATACATTTTTATATGGATATCAATGTTTTTGATCACCAAATTTATTAGCAGTCAAATTATCACTAAAAAATAAGACTTTTGATCACCAAATCAATTAAAGAAAATTTAAATCAAAGAAAATATATACAAGACGAAACATGGATAAAAGTATGAGCGATATAAGAAATATGTCAACAGCTGACAATTTTTGAAATTTTATTGTTTTTTTTTATGTTTTTGAAATCTGATCTGCGATACTGGCAAACATTAAACTGTAATTTTGCATATTCTTCCGTTTCATCGGACGATGTAGCTGTGTGTGATACTTTCCACTCTTGCTATGATATTCTTTTGATGGTATCGTCTGTAGTTTAGGGCAGTTATTTTTAGCTCTTGTGAGTAGACTCCTTCGGGGCAGCCTCGAATCCCATCCTCCCGTGGGACAGACGGAGCCGAGAGAAAAAACAATTTAAGGGCTCGGGGCAAGCAAAAAATTTCACGGGTTCGGGCTTACCGGCTCGGGACAATTTGCAGAAAAATGCTGTCCCGTAAGTTGTCTTCTGGTTGTAACTATGCTGCAACTTCAAATGTTTAACTGTTCTGGTACAGGATGATCCATAAAAAACTTATCCCTTGTGTATTTATTGACTTTCTTGTGCACAAATATAATTGAACTTTTTACCATTAGTTTATTCGAATAGAGCAAAGATTTCTAGACAAAATGAGACGTCCCCGAGCTCTCGAAGAGCTTTTCTCATGAAACAGCATTCAATTTATGGAAGGTCTCATACCACCAAAATCGGAACGATTAATGGGCAAACAAGAAAAATATGCTCTTGGGACCTTCTGTAAATTCAATGCTGTTTCATGAAAAAAGTTCTTAAAGAGCTCGGAGACGTCGGTCATTCTGTCCAGAAATCTTTGCTCTATTTGAATAAACTAATGATAAACAGTTCAATTATATTTGTATACAAGAAAGTCAATAAATACACAGGGGGTAAGTATTTTTTTGGATCACCCTGTACTGTCAAGTCAAAAACGTGATTTCATAATAACTAATAAAAATTAAGCTGGGAAGCAAAATAGTCTGGATTTAAACTTGAGAAGATGTTCCATATCTAAAACTAGGTTTACAGTTCTTTCTTTTCGATTCGGAGACAGTGAATGGATGTAAAACATTTTTTTTGTAAAGCAACTTTTAAGTTTAGAATCAAATAAATCAGGCTGAAATTCTGTCATACGGATTTTTTGCAAAAATAAGTTTGAGATTTTAACCGTCTCTTGTAACAGTTACGGTTTATCACAACAAGAAAAACTTTCAAAATACAAAAAGTCCGTAAATTTTTTTCACGGGACAGACGTGTTCGGGACAACTGTATTTGCTCACGGGCTCTCTTGCGGGATGGGACAAAAATTTTTATGTTTGAGCTCGGCCTTACGGGCTCGGGGCAACAAAAACATTTGTGCCGCAGCACTGTACTTGGGAGTTGACAAAATCAATAAAATTTAAAAAATCGTCAGCTGTTGACATATTTCATATATCTTTTATGCTTCTATTTCGTAATGTCTCAACTGAGATACAATCCATGTTTTAATCAAGTATCTCAGTTGAGAATATCTTAGTTAAGAAAGCAATATTTCTGCGAAAATATTCATTTCTCAACTGAGATACATTTTATAAAATATGGACTTCACGATTTTCTCAACTAAGATACAATTTTGACACGTGCGTTCAAACGTGCAATTGTGCAAGAGTACAGTGTACTAATGAAATTAGGTATATGTGGTATCTATATTAACTATCTAAGAAATTATCCCCACATTACATGGTCAAATATGACCACGTATTGAATTATTATCAAGTAATGCATGCAAAAAATGGGACAAAAAGCTCAGTTCTTATGCATTGCTCTCGTCGTCATCATCGGTGCTTATGTCTGAATCACGAGTTTTGTGGAAAACATCTAAGTAGTTGTATGCAAAGTGGCGTGAAAGTAGCTGAAATTCTTGTAGATCAATTTCATCATTTGCAAATGCATTTTTGGCAGAAACTAAATGAATATCATGTCGAACATCTTGTTTTCTTCTTTTTCTATTCGTCCTTCCTTGTTCATCTTCTTGTTCAACACGTATAGCTGTTATTTCTTCAGCTTTTTGTATGTTCATTATCCAATTCCAAATACTTGGATGTATTCCTATATGTCTGCAATTGAGATACAAAACTATAAAACTTGTGAACTACTGACATTCAGAACTTACGCATTTAACTGTCGATGGTAGCCTTCTACGTGATTATTTGTACGTGGCCTTTCCTCTATTAAATCAAAATGGTTCCACTTTTCTATAGGAAATCTTGCATGTTCAATATAATTTTTCAATATATAATCTGTTAATTTTAAAAACTTATTATCTAAATTACTAAGTTCTTCAACTATATCTACAAATCGTGAAGTCCATATTTTATAAAATGTATCTCAGTTGAGTCCAAACCTTCTATTTATACTTCTTGTATATATTTTCTTTACATTCTTTTTCTTGTCTGTCTACTAATGAGTTTGCAATAACGCTAAAACTAAACTAATTAATTTGCTATTAAATTGCTATATATTCCAGCATATTTGCGACGTTATAAATAAAATAACTTTTGTTTGATTTCGGGACATTTAGTTTGAAACCAACTTTTATTTAGAGTAACCTGCGATGCAAAAGTAATTGTGGAAACGTCGAAGCCTGTTTTTCTGGCTCGCTACATCATAGAGAGCTAATTTTTATTTTATTTGAAAGAGCATGTTCTGAAGTACAAACAACTAAATCAACAAACTGAATACAAGTCATTGCGCCACATAGAACGAAGCTGCTTGCTAACGTTCTTCACCATGGCTTGCAACGTTTTTGGATCCAGTTCTTTGGCTTTTTTCTTGACTCGACGAGCTAATGAATCCAGATCTTTGGCTTGCCAATTATTGGCGTAAACCTTCTGTTATAAAAGACTCCAAACTGTCTCGATCAGTCGTGCCTGAGGCACGTTTGGTGGATTGTTTTGTTTCGGCACAACGGGGATATTTTTTTGTTTCAATCGATCAAGGACGACACCAGCATAATGTACACTGGCTTTATCGGGCCAGAAGACAAAATCATTATTTTTGTGATGCTCTTCGATAAATGGCAACAATCGATTATTAATACATTCATTTAAATAGATATCACTTTTAATGGCTTCTTTGCTCTTATGGACATAAATATCTGACACACCCCTCGCCGACATTGCCATGCAAATGAGAATTTTGGGTGGATATTTCTTTTTCTTTTTATATTTCACATCGGAAGGAGTTGTTGATGGATCTGTTGTGTAAAATCTTTGATTGCATTGAACATTGTCACCTGACAAACCAAAATACTTCTCATCATCAAGGATGATGTCGGAACCATTCAAAAACATTCTGTAGAGTTTACCACAGTCTTTCTTGGCCATTTTCTCTTGAGTATCGTTATCCATCTTTGGCGCTTTTTTTCTTTTTCTGATCACGATTGATGTTCTCTTGTTTAACGTACGACTGATGGTCGATTGATGGACGTTGTACCGCTTCGCTATCTGGCGTTGACTAAGGCCGGTTTTATTGTTAATGGTTTTCACCAGACTATTCAACTGTCGATCGGTTATTTTGACCGGACGACCTTTCCGTGGTAAAAAGTCGGTGCTTCCATACGTCAGATACTTCTTCAGGATGTATCGAACAGTATTTTCATGTATTCCACGTTTCACGAAATAATTCACGGTCGTTCTCACACTTCGATTTGCTGCATCTTCATAAAAGTTGCAGACACGTTTTGCGACTTCTTCCCTTTCTTGACGCGTCATTGAAGACAACAAAATTTATATCTACAAAAAGCATACCATTCGAAAGCTTGGAACATGCTCTTTCAAATAAAATAAAAATTAGCTCTCTATGATGTATCGAGCCAGAGAAATAGGCTCCGACATTTCCACAATTACTTTTGCATCGCAGGTTAAAACTTAAATATTTTTTCATAGAAAACTCTCTAAACAAAACTTTTTTGTAAATGAGTTACTCTAGTTGTGATGCATCTTTTTTATCAGAGAAGTCATGTTGTTTAACTTCAAGATATACAGCCACAATAAAGTGATTGTGGGATAACTTTAATACAGTTTTTTGGACCGTCATGTATTTTCACATATCATCAAGCTAAAGATCCATAAGTACAGTGTATAGCAAAATTTCGGAGACTATCCGATGGTACAGTCAAAAAATTACAAATTTTAGAGAAAATGTCCCGTAATTATTGTTGGTAAAAAAAAGAATAGACTCGGATGTTTTCTGAATAACGTTTGACAAAAAAGTGGCAGATGCTTGCGATCTTCGCTAATCGAAAGCTAGGACCTAATTGCATCTTTTCACAATGAAAGTCATTTCAAAATCTTTCCCTAAAGCAGGTTTTTCAGGAGATCTTTGGAAACCCAGGTCATTGCTTAAAAACCTGAAATACAAACGATTTGATTCTTTTTTATGGGCAGATAGTCCAAAGTGTCCTCTTAAAAATGGGAGTCAAGCGAGACTCTCATGTTCGATTGCCGACCCGACCACTCTATAAAATTGTCTGTCTCAGCCTGTCCCGGTCCGGTCCGGCCAAAAGCCCGGCCCGTGCAGATCTCTGTTGCTCATACGTGTAAAAACATTTTGCAAGAAGTTCATTTTTAAAAAAAGTTTTAGTCAAAACTGTACGTTGCAGATGCTGAGAACGTAGGATACAGTCGCATATAAAATAAAAAAATCGTGTAGGCTATCGTACTTGTCGCATGATACAGCCACGTAGAACGGAAAAAGAATGCACACAAGGAATTGTACGAAAATGATTTCTTTGTGTTTTTTTCTACCTCTAATGATAAGGCGTATATATAAAACACTGACGAACAAATATACTTGTATGTGAAGACTCCTATGCACTAGAGTAAGTGTTTGTGTCAAGCTGATGCTACAACCATACTTTCTATCTTCATTTTGATATTTATTCACTATTAAAATATCGATATCAATATTTCAAATCTCAGGAAATACCTGCTCTACAATCAAACTTCTGTTTTGGCTATTTAAACGTACTATGCAATGTCAAATCGATTTCAAAACAATTACAACAATGGACGAAACAATATGGTAATATCTACGGTATTTACAAAGGATATTTACCCATTTGCGTTTGTTGAGATGTTAACGTATTATAAGCATGACTTTTTTAAGCAGTTTTCAAATTTTATACACAAGTAATTTAGAATTGATAAGATCGTAACAGCAGCTGTTACTATCTTATCAATTCTAAAACTTCTACCCTTGAACAGATATAATGTTTCAAAATATTTATGGCATCTCAACTGTTAAATGTTTTTGGGATATGTGCAGAGCGAGTAAAGCGATAGTTTCGGCATTGATACAAATATGCAAAATGACCCTAATAATGTTGATATAAGAAAAGCCGCTCAATTATTTTCAATTGATTCTACTAAGTTGACACTTGTTAAATTATTTCCACCGATTCCTGAAGTAGGCATGTTGATTTAAAGATTATTTTTCCAATACGCTCGTGTCATTCAAATAATAAATTGATTATTTCCATCACCTGTACAAAATATCGAATCATTGCCAGGTTTTTGATTTATAAATCAGGTGAAACACGTTATTAATATGAAAATAAGAAAAACAGATGATAAATGTAACTTATTGATTTATTAAAAATAATGTTTGAACCTGTAGCAAATGAAAATTTCGAAGTAAGTTACATTTAAATTCTTTTAGAATTTTTATGAAAGTCATGTTATTATTTGTTTGCTTGATGATCGGAATGAAAATGACAATGTACCAAAGAAACTAACATATGGAAGTAACTTATTCCTATCCATAGTTGCTGGTTATGAAACATCGTCCACAGCTCTCGTTTATCCTACGTATATTTGATAAGGTTTCACTCAGACCCCTAGCATTACGAAATCCCGGTAAAAAGTAAGGCTTTCGTAACATGTTAAAAAGACATAAATTAAAAAAAATAGGGCTTTCGTAAAGTTTTACAGGGCTTTTATAAAGATAATGCAAAGGGATTAATGTCTAAGTAGATGCTATGATAGGGTTTCCGTAACACTCTTTAACCGGGCTTTCACAACGAATTTTGTGTGTCCTTTTTACGGTAAAATAGCTGAACATTAATGTCCTTCAACAGGACTTTCGTAACAGTCTTTTACAGAGCTTTTATAACGAACTGTATATCAAGTTGAAATGATGTGTGATTGTACTGATTCATTCTCCACGGTTTCTATCGGTTTTCTCTTTCATTTACAATAAGAAGTAGCATTCGTTACGAAAGCCCTGTAGTAATACAGCATTATCATTTATATGTGGGATAAAAAGTACATATAGTCTCAGTTACAAAAGCCGTGTAAAAGAGTTTAGTCCTTTGCATTATCGTTACGAAAGCCCTGTTAGTGATCCTAGTGACTGACTATTTCATAGAGAGGATATGACCCGATTAACAGTGTTATGAAGCCCCCGTAAAAACAGATACGAAGCCCTGTAAAGCGATGGTTTCGGAATGAAAGCCCTGTAAAAAGTCAATTTACAGGGCTTTCGGATTACGAAAGCCTAGTAAAAAAAGAGAGGTCTGGATGAAACGCCACCGTATATTTTGGCTAATTATCCAGATATAGACAGGGCCGCAAATAGCAGTCAAATATTATTACATTGGCACATAAGTTCAGCACGTTTTTGATATTGCTCTGGAAATACCTTTGGATTTTGTTTTCTTATTGAATGATGAATCGAACGAGATGCCCCTCAGAGAATAACACTATTTAATCATTTCTACTTTGTTAAGAATAGATCTTTCCTTAGAGAGTACACGCTTA